TCCGAAGAGACTACCTGTAGCCTCCGTCTCTGCTTATCCGTGAGCTCATCCCCATCACTGTCACTATCCGATGCATCACTATCCTCGTTGAACTGGGCGCGGCTTATTTTATCGATACCGAGGACTCGTTTAAACATGAGAGTGGGGGAGAAGGAGAAAACTGACAAGCTGAGAAAACTCCTCAAAAACTCCATGCAATATCATATATCCGTTACCAACAGCTACACTCAGGTATCTCTCATAACCCCAACGATAACCGCCGGTGAGAGGAAACCAAATCAGCATCACAAACATGGATACGATAATCACACCAACTCATCGGCTCCAAGTCCAGGCTGATCTACTACTCGTTTCGAATCGTGCCCATCATTACTCTGTACTGTATCATCATCATCCTTCACACACCAGCCATTACTCTCCTCCTCTTTGGAATCCCTCAATGTCATAGCACGAACCCGATTCATCCACTGTTCATCATTCTCCAAAGTCTCTCCGAGGCTGACCTACCATATGGGCTATAACAAGTAAAAGCACTAGTTGTAGCTACGAATGTCGCAACAAGTATAGGTACTCAATGGAAAAGGCTCCCACCCTAGAGTTGCGAAGGACCAAGAGTGGCCTTGGTCATACAGGACCATATGGTTATGCCACAGATTGTGGTAGCTCGACCAGCATCTCGAGCAATTCATCGTCCCCATCTCTATGCAGAAGATGTCTGTGACACCTACTCGGCGACATACCGATGTCGCCGAGCAAATGGCCACCATTGGAGGTCACCTTATGGAGTGTCCTACAATGGCCCTATAACTTGCCCCAAAAGAGCACTTCACTGTTATCTAGGAGGCAGAGGAGCGTTGGGATTCCTCAAAGGATCTCACGTATGATCCTCAAAGGAGGAGGCCGAGGAGTTGCATCTTATAACACTTAGGGTAAGCTGCTACGTAAGGTCCGTAAGGAGCGTTAGGCTGGCCGGATTCAGCTCACCCTTGGCTTACGAGGCCGAGGCAGAGAGTTTCGGGATCGATCTTTGGATCTTCCAATAGAGGTTAACTTGTTAACCTAGGTTAAATACCGATGCGGATGGTCGCGTCGCTCCGCTACCAATTCGCACTGCAGAGATGTAACGGTGAGGCGAGCGGATCCTCCCCGCTTTCCTTTTGTCATAACAGGGTCACGGGCTGAAGGATCTTCTGAATTTTATCCCAATCCCACCACTCCCGGGAGCAAGTACCGAAGAGGGTGCAGACACGCACTGTCGGCACACTCACTGAGTGTCACTCAGACTCTGTGTCTCTGAGTGTCTTTCCCTCATCGATACTTCTAGGGTCGGTTCGTACCGAACCGCCCCCCCCAGACCCACGCGACCAGGAGTGGGATATTTAACTGTCAGCACGAGATATCACCCACAACGGTAGTTCACAAAAAGATCGGGAAACTGCGCTCTCCAGGGATAGATCCTGCGTCCTCCTGTGTGTCAGCACGACATATTACCCGCCACACCAATTCACCAAATCGAACTGCCGACACTAGTCCAGCTCAATATGAATTTTTTTTGCTCCCAGACAGCGGCGCCTCTACCATGCTCTGTGATTTCGCCTCATTTTTTATCGGTCGTGATAGTGAGTGGTGCCCTGGTGGTGTGATAGGTGGCCTGTGTTTTTGCCCCGCAGTTCTGCTAACCTTCTAGTTTAGTTCTTACCGCCAGCAATTGTATCTTAGTTTTTACTGTGTATGTTATCTCTGTCGCTAGCAAGCTTCAACTGCATAGAAGGTACGGCAGCAGCAGTAACAGCAGCTGGTAGAAGTGCTGCTGCTTCTCGTGGTGTCCCACACCGACCGTACCAGCGAACTTTAGTAGAAGGTAAATACGATGTACTTCCTGTAAAGGAAATACCTCCTTATATTATAAGGCCAAGACATGGTAAAACGAGTTCTATGCTCTCGTGAGGTTGACTTGTTGTGGTAGGTATACGGGCTGATGGAACAGTCCCTCCTGCCATGCCACCTTCGGAGAGCTATACGTGGCCTCGGTTTGAGATAAAAACTCCCGAGGTTATAGACCGCATTCGCCGAGCTGCTCTATTAGCTGGTAAAGCTTTAGATGTTGCTTTGGATGCTGCAAACCCAGGAACTACGACAACTGAGATAGATGACCTGGTCATTGAGTGAGTAGGGCTCCTCTATACACGCGATGATGGCAAGCAATCTCCTATATCGTCTTGATCTGGTACTGTTCAGTTTCCTCGTTTCCGAAGGAGCTTATCCATCTGGTATCAACTACATGGGTTTCCCCAGAGCAGTGTGTATGTCTGTGAATGAATGCGTGGTAATGGCATCTACGTCATCATAGCCACTATCATCTCTGT